GGATAATAAGTTGATCCAATACTAAATTCTCCAAACTAACATTATAAGAATTGTGTGATTGACAGTGAGGAGAAAAACAAATTTGATCTGGGAGTTAAAGGTTTAACACAGTTTTGTGTAATGAAAAAAGTGGTTTGTGATCTTGAAGTAAGTATAAATGTTCAAACTTTAAAAATTTCTTTTTATTTTTTTTATGTAGGAAGGTAAACCAGATGGGCAAAAACTGATAGTAGTCTCTGTATCTCCTCAATCACGTGCTTCTGTTGCAGCAAAGTTCCGATTAAACATTACCGAGGTAAGATAGCCTAATGTTTCCGAGAAATTCTCTTTATGAGTCAAGATAACATTTTCTAACCAAGATAAGTCCACAATATTATTCATGTACTCTTGCTTACTGAGCATAATTTAGCAGCTATAAAACATAAATAAAGTTTTTCCTTCACTTGTTATTAAGCATGTTACTCTCTGCTTTTAATGCAGTCAAATCAGTATACCTTGTTGCTCTGATATGTCTAAGTTGTCAACTGGTAGTAATTTCTCCCGAAGATTTCCTTCTGTGTTGTGTTTATCAGCATTAGAATTCTCTTTGTAAAATAAATTCCCTTGCTCTTTTTGCAGACAGCTAAAAAACTAACAGCTTTTCTCAAAAATCTTGGTAAGATGCCATCAAATATCAAATAAATTGTTTATATTTGGTAAATCATATGACAGTAGGATTAATTAACTATAGTTGCAAAACATAGTACAAATAAATAGCTGTATACATAGATATGGTAACATCCAGATTCATTCAATGCATTCTTGAGGTAACATGATTCTTTTATGAAGCTAACTTAGGATTAATGTTAAATATGCTGTGAACAAACAAACTAAAGAATTCCCTATTGTAATTTCAGGTGTTCATCATGTTTTTGACACTACTTTTTCAAGGGATTTTAGTCTTACAGAGAGGTATTAATAATTATTACAAGTCAGACCTTTTGTATACTTTATTTTAGTTTCTCAATGTGATAGGGGTTGAAAAAAAGTTTGAAGAGATAAACATGATTGGAACCATGAAAGCAGAGAGATTTTTGTAAAACATTACCTGAAAGTTGAAAGAGACTCATATTGTGTATCGTACTTAACACTTGCATGCAAGAACCAAAAAATAGAGCCATTTAATTCACATGTACATTAAAGTGGCATCATGACATCTATTTATGAATGATGATTGTGCTTCTGCAAATGGCTTGCTTATTTTGTTACCTTTTAAACTGTCTGTATTGTTTCTTTATTTTGAATTGTATTTGATAGTGTGATTTCAGGTATATGTATTCACAAAAGTATTTGGTCTCGCAGTGATCAAAAAGGGATTCATTATCAATAATGTGTGTTGCAGTTTAGAACAGTTTCAGGTTATATGATGTTAAGGATGTTTTATGACTGTGGTGATGTATTTTGAAAAAAAAACTCCAGATATACATGTTACATAATAGTATGAAACAAAAGTATAACAAGCTGTATTCAACAATTTCATTTGTAGTCAACAAGAGTTTGTTCAGAGATTAAAGGCACAGCAATCTGGAGAGAAGGAGTCTCTACCCATGTTGGCATCAGCTTGCCCTGGTGAGAATAGTGTTTTCTGACTTCTAGATCTCAGGGATGCAGCTACTGTTTAGATCTTAGAAATTTATGTTTTAAGTATTTTTATTGGTTTTTGTTCAATTATTCCTCATTTTTTTTGTTCTAATTATGATTTCTGAGCATTTATTTTGCAGAAGAGAAAAAGTAATTGTTGTATTTTAGTTTATTGCCAGTGTATTACTTGCAAATTTTATCCCAGTCAAGGCTGCATTTTTTGTTATTCGCAATCTTTTTGATCTTGTGAAATGTGCATTCCTGTTGGAGTTCCTATCATTACGTAAGATGGAAATTTTGATAATGTGCTAATAAGAAAGTCAGCACACTGTTATTTCCCTTTCAGGCTGGGTGTGTTATGCTGAGAAGACTCACGGTAGCTACATTTTGCCCTTCATCAGGTGTTTGCATTATTTTTTCCTGTTAAGATTGACTGATTTGGGCTTAGATTCCAAGAGGGATTAGGCACAGTCAATTGCTGTTTTTAGTAGACTACAAGCAGTCCCTCTTTTTGATTTTATGATTAAAAAAAATAAACAGGATGAAAATTATATTAGCATGCCACAGTGAACTCTGGTAGAAATGCCTACTTTTTGTGTACCAACTATCAGAGTTCAGTACGGGATGCTAACATCAGTTTTTTTAACACTCATTTTTGTTTTTAACTTGCATGACAGACTTTGCAGAAAGGTAGGGACTGCTTGTATTCTAAGTTTCTCTAAAAATGCTTTTTGGAGGTGAAAACTCTGTGAATAACTGAATGAACATGCTGTATGTGAATGACAAGAGAAAAGTCTGATTCTTCCGTTTTCAGTTTTGCCTATGATAAGTTCATGCAACTTTTGTTGCATACAAGACATTTTTGGTTACTACGTGGTGCATTTTTCTACTTGAGTTGTCATTGAGAGTCTGATTTAGATAAGGTAATTATGCCTCAGCTGTGTCATTAGCAGACTGCATGTTGACCACAAGCAAATGCAAACATATCTCTCCTTCACTATCCGTGTGTTTTAGCAAGACATTGATGTGGTGAGCCTTCAGATCACTCTACATCTCTTTATCCTGTTAGGAGTGTACTTGTCGCAGTAACTAGCAAAATATACCAGAGTATCTCTGTATCTAATCTTAGATTCTACCTCTGATCTCTTTTGAAGCACAACAAAATCTCCGCAGCAGATCATGGGTTCTCTAATCAAGGATCACTATGGAAAATCAATGGGGAAAAAGTATGATTTTGCATTAACCCTTCACACTCAAACATTCATATTGCACTGTTCTCTCAACAGTTCCTATGGTACTGACAGGGAGAATTTCTTTGACGATCAGGAGCTTCTTAAATTGGTGATCAGTTCCTGTTTCCTTGTGACCTTTACATTTGATTCAAGGGTGTTACTGTTTGGAGAAATATTGGAAGCCAGTCACTCAAAACAAATTCTGTTGTTTGATCAAGTGCACTTTCAAACAATATATACCAACCATTTAGTTTGTGCAGGTCACCTGTTCCTGGGACACTGCAAAATTTTAATATTTTTCCTTATTTTTCTGAACAGACCAGATGATATCTATCATGTGACCATAATGCCATGTTATGACAAAAAGCTTGAAGCTTCCAGAGAAGACTTTTATAATGATATATATAGAACAAGAGATGTGGATTGTGTTATTTCAACAAGTATGCTCCTCTATTTTGTTTTAATGAGCAAAAGAGCTGCAGCTTTGTAATTGGTTAAGTGGTTGTTGTAAGGGTTTCTAGTACTAAGTTAATGACAGTGGGTCAGAAAGATTGATGAGTTGGAAAAACCTGCAATCAGGCATTTCGTTTTAGAAAGAGGAAAAAGTGATAGCAGATGGTTAAAGGGGTAGACAGCATCCCACCTACCCCCCCCCCCTCCCCCCGTTCCATTGGCTGCCTTCTGCATGCCGCTTGCCGCCAACAACTAGCTATCATTCTGTGTTTTGGGTATGAAGGACAAATCGAATTTAAAAAATCAAAGGAACTTTTCATGATAGTTTAGGTACTGAGTGGTCAGTGATACTTAAGGAGAGAAACTGTTTGCCTTAATTGATGTACAATTTTGTGTGTTTTATTAAAATACAGCAACTCGTGAAATTTTACGTTTAGTTTCACGTGGAAAACCGATATTGCCCAAATCGCCAAGCTAGAAGCGTGATATTGTAATTCCAAGTGAAATTAAACGCTGTCTTCTAAAAAGCTTTTAGATAAGGAATTTTTTGTTTTAGATTAAAGGTCTTTGTCTCGGACAGTGGTTGTTTGACTTCTTTTTTTTCCCCTTTGCTTAGTTGAACTGGAGAAAATGTTTGAGGAAAAGAATGTAAACTTTGCTGAGCTGGAGAATGCAGAACTGGACTCGTTGTAAGTTATCGCACTTTTAGGATATGCCATGTTTGCGTTTTTAAGAAAATTTTGTCAAGGGTAACCGAGTTATTCTTATGGATTTTTCAGGTTTTCAAGCATTGATCAAGAAGAACTTGTAGGCCATTCTGGAGGTGGCTCGGTAAGATGCTTACCAGCGTCTTTTTTATGTATTTAATTTCTGTATTGCATGGATCAATGTCTTCTGAATTAGAATTTAAAAAAAAACTTTTTCTCAAATCACGTGTCTTTGTATGATAACTTCACTTCTGAGTCACATCCGACGAGACATTAACAAACGATCCCGTTTTGATTAAAAGGTCTGTTCCCATTTCTAGTCTTAATTTAATTTTTTCTTAATTTGCGGAAGTAAATGATGTTTGATTATCTTATTTCAGGGTGGCTTTCTGGAGCACATATTTATTTACGCTGCTAAGGAGGCAAGTTTCAGATAACAATTTGCAAGGATACTAATTAAAAGACATTTTGCTGCAGATATTCTTTTTTTATCTCTATCAAAAGTTTTCTGCGATATTTAAGCAAATTCAAAGAAGACTTGTGGCCCTCCACACCAACAAACTCATTCTATGCTAGTAAACTTCCCTCAACTGGAAAAAGCACGATTGAATGTGACCTGTGCAATTTGACTCAATAATTGATAGTTCATGTTTGTTTAACGACTGATATTTGTAATTCGCGTTCACACGTGTTATTTTTCTCAGTTGTATGGCCAGACTGTTGAAAACATAACCTACAAGACTCTAAGGAACAGGGACTTTAAGGAGGTAACCTTGCAGGTAATGGCAGCATACGTTCGTTATTACTTTAGCTCAATTAGCCGTTTGGCGAATGATCCATGTACCTTTCTTTTTCAACGTCTTCTTTGTCCAAGGTGCTTGATGTGATTCTACTCATTGACATTAGTGACCAGTTTTAATTTATCGCCTGGGAAAGGATTCCCTTTTCTTTTTTTTTTTTTTTTTTTTTTGGCGGGGGGGGATACTCTGTAGTATTCAATAGAATACTACAGAACCTTTGGGGTGATTAAGTAAAATTACATGACAAAATCCTCCAACTCCCCCCTCCCTGTGATAAATAATGAGCGGTCCCTTAGGGTAACTGAATGCTGTTGGCCCAGCCTTAAATTTCATCTCCAGATCTCATTTCTTATGTTGTATTGATTGCCTCTGCGGGCAAGGTCACGAACTCCAAGTTTTTTCTTCAGGTCGATGGTAAAGAAGTCCTCAAATTTGCAGCAGCTTACGGTTTTCGAAATATCCAGGTTAGCTTATACGAATTGCTCAGTTGTTACTGGAATTTATATATTATACTTATAAAAATGTTTGTGAATGATTGTAGAATCTTGTACAGAAAATAAAGCGGGGAAAGTCTCCATATCATTTTGTGGAAGTCATGGCATGCCCGGCGGGTGAGTCTCTTTATACAATTGTATTATTTCGTTGTTTCTGCGGTTTTATGTTTATGGAGAGGCAGCATGCCAATAAACACTGCACTCCGAGGTCTGGGTTCAAGTATAAACCAGATTGCCTCTATCCTCCCCGGCCAGCAGTATAAATGTCAACCATCAAACTGTCGGAGAAAGCTGAAGAAATGTGGGGGGAGGTGAGGGGGGAGGTAATCTGCGTTGGACTGGCATCACCCCTGCATCTCTCTGTGGAAACCATTATTCCTGTTTGTTGAACTGTGGGGTCAGTTTGAGTATCCGTGATTAACATGAGTGGAATAAATTGTTGGTTTTTCCTGGTTAAGGCAAGAAGCATGAACATGAGAAACACATTCGTGTTTGTTGGAAAGCAGTCAAAGTGGACGTCAGCTTCAATTTTAAATTCCTTTAGAAGTAATTTGGATGTGGCAAACATTTCAAGGTCCCAAATTAAGCATCTTGCCCTTTTTCGAAAGATCTGTGATGATTTTCTTGAGTTTGTGTTCGTTTGTCGTTCCCAGGCTGTCTCAACGGAGGTGGCCAGATAAGGCCAGGGGATGGAGAAACGTCAAAAGAGCTAATAAGTAGACTGGACGAACTCTACAATTCATTGAGGTAACCTCAATTACCTTTCTTAGCAGCATGTTGCTGTCGTTTTCCATCGTGTTTCTTCGGGCAGCCTCTTACTTGAAAAACGATGGCTCGTTCAACCAGAAGGCATTCCATCTTAGTGATGCATTCTTTCCGAAGTACTACTAAACTTAAGTTCGTTAAAACAATTTTTGAAGATAAAAACAACTGTTGTTTGTATGGTAACTGCGTTCAAGGGATGTTACCTCTGGATCTTATTGAAACTGTGTATACTATTTTGTTTTGGCCAGATCAAGAAAGCCGAGTAAAAATCCAGCGGTAGAAGATTTGTACAGGTGAGATGGATCACTAAATGTTTTGACTGTGTATGTTTAGATTTGGCAACTACGCGAACGGGAGACGTTTCGGCTTAGTGTTTACCCGCTGGAAGTCTAGAGACGTGCTCTGGCAAGATCACAGTAAGGTGTTAACCAAGAGTAATGTAGATGAAATGGCATGCAATTAGTGATACCGGCTAACGGCATTTGGACGGGGCGCATCAGCAAGGTTACCTCAGACAGACGAGTAGTATTTATAATGAGAGGACTTAGAATTATAGATACTATTATATGCAGATAATAATACAACGATCCGGGTAAACAGAGAATCTTGAGTCCTAATTCCTCAACATGACCTTACCTGACTGATGAAAACTCCCAGTCTAGTTAAGACAGAGAATATGATATTGTGATGTGATCTTTGAAGTTGTTGTTTGTTCGATATTTTAGAGAGTGGCTCGGTGGACAATCTTCACAAAAGGTGTGAAAACATTTTTATTTCTTATAATATTTACATGTTTATATATCAAGGATAAGTTAACGAACCTAGAGCCTCAAAAGTTTCTGTAGAGCTAGGACAACACGTGAGGATACGGTTTGTCAAACAAGGCCAAATACGTAACAGAATCAAATCAGAACTGTTGTTGTTTTAAAATGTCGGAGCGAACGTCAAAGAACGGAAGGGGTGAAAATGGCTAACCTGTTAGCCTTCAACTGGAATCTTGACTGGTTTCCATTTATTTCTGTTGCTTTTTTATTCTTTGAATTGGAGAGAAATATTAAAATTATATGTAGGTGTACTACACATTGACTGTTCAATCAAAGCTTAAGAGGCAAGTGATTGTTTAAATTTTATTCTGCACAACATTGCAAGCTGGCGGGGGTACTTGCCTCATGAACACCACTTACTCAACTTGTTCGCCTCAAATTTCGGTGTTGCAAGCTGATGAAAGACATTGCAAAAAGTTGAACAGTTAAGTGTTTTTAACACAACATGTTGCCTCAACTTGTTGTTATTCACCCCAGGTAAAAGAGATGCTTCACACCAATTATCACGAGGTGGAAAAACTGAGCACAGCACTGAATATAAAGTGGTGATGCATTATGCAGTCAGCATATCCCGTGGGATCATGCGGAGCCAATCAAGATCGAGATTTTTGCTTTGTCCAATTAAAAGAACAACAACCGTTGACTCAACTCCGACATCAGGCTGATGTCGGAGTTGCTATGCTGTTTAGCCTCAGGAGGCTCGATAAAAAAAAATCATAGTGTGAAATGGTGATTGTATAATGACGTCATGCCATCCAAGATTGTCAAATTCTATGACAGTGAGAACCAAAACTTTTAATTGATTTCTTTTGAGACTTTTTCTCGGAGCGAAGTATCGTTTGCAAAATCTATTTCTTCTAATAATAGTCAAGTCGCAGCAGTGTATTTTTCATAGAGGGGAATATTTAAATGAGTGGGAATACTCTAAATTTAAAAATATTTTTTCAAGAGAAAATGTATAAGAATATCAGAATAACGCGCATGGTTTATCTCACGATTGCGAAGGACTCATATTTGAAATTTGTAAGTGTTTATTTCGAATGTGTTTATATTTAAAGTTCTCAGACTCAACATATCTCGTGGAACCTCATTCTACGTCTTCTATTCTAATGCAAAACATTTCGCTTACTTTAAATAAAGATCTTACAACTGCTCCAATTTTACTGTGTCTACTTTCTACTTTTTGTATTTAATTAATACACATATCCTCTTCTAATTTAATTTTAACTTTTTTTTAATCCTGGGAAAGAAAACTCGTACTTGCCCTTGCTATACAGGGAAAAGAAACTTGTAAAAAAGGAGAATTTTTTACATGTTTCAACTCCCTGTACTGTACCTAAAGTTATCCAGGCCCTTTTTCAACATCCCCAAATTAGCACAACTTAAAAAGGATGGGCTTACATGTACTCAGGCAGATAAATTAATAGTCATTTGTCGATGAAACTGTCCGTTGATTGATTCATTTTCTCATGTGGGGCAGATTAGAGAACTGGGTTCCACCCCTAATTCCTTTGCCATCCAAACGCACTCGGCCGCACAACAACCGCGACGGACTGGGAATAAAAGAATTGAGGTGTACTTTAATATAGACCAAAGCAAAATGAAAGGCAGATGTATAATAACAATTCAATCCAAACTACACACAGCCTACCTCTTGTTTGGGAGGAGCACTGTAACTTGGACGTGTCGACACCAAATTGAGCCATCTGTCGTATCACGTTAGGTCCACAACTGACAGCTAGAACAAATACATACAGGAAGTCTAATCTGCTCATCTAAACCAAACTCAGTCGTTCCAGATCATTTTCTCTTCACGTTGAAATCCCGAAGAAGGATTTTTGATAGGCACCGCTGAAGCAAAGTTATCAGGGAGTGTATGATCTACGAGTTTTAATCTGCCCTTAAACCCATAGTAGTCGTTATGGTCGGGGGAAAGATTTTTAAGTTTGGACCCTCGAACTAAACTTGTCATACTGTCAAGCCGAGTTTGTCTCATCGACTCAGTTTTTGTGTTCTCCTTTATCTGTTAGCTCGTAAAAATTTCGCATGCTATACTCAGCAGGCCCTTACCATGGCTCAGTATCTCTCTTTAAAAATCTATGGCGTGTAAGGTTTTTTTAATTGTTATTATTATTATTATCATTATTATTATTATTACTATTATTATTATTATCATTATTATCATAAATATTATTATTATTATTATGATTATTGAAATTTCACATAAATCACTAGCCAGAATCACAAGCCGAGTGAAGACAGTCAAATTAGTCTTGGTACGCTTTTTTTCAAGTGAAAATCAATAACTCACTCGTCACTCGACCGCATTTCTTAACCTGACTTCCGAGGTAAGGAAAATTTATTACAAACGGTATTTAATTTTAGACCAATTTTCTATTGAGCGTCGAAAGGTAATCTAGGATTGCTGTACTGCGTTCGGCGACAAGATAACAATAGGCGCCCACACCACCTTGTCAGTTAACCAAACAGATGCAAAACTAAAAACATTTGCGATTTTCCCTTTCCATGAAATGTTTTAATTGGCTCTTCATATTACTTTGGTTTTGGTTTTACGAAGCCAATTTGGCGTTACTCACCATCTTTCCGTCGCATCTCTAGCTTCTCCCAGACAGGAACAGCCTCTGAAAGTAGGGAATGATATTTGTTTTTTAATAAATTGCTCAGAGAAACTGCTTAGTAGCATTGCTGTTGTTGTTATGTAGATTATTTTCGAACTGTGGTAAGATTGTTCCAACTCGGGTCTCATTAATCTCGTAAACCATAAACGCATCTTTAACTCTGTTATGTTATTACAACTTGAAATTACCCGAAGCTCTATAATTGGGGTGAAACTGCGATTCTTTGTTCGAGTCAAATTTTTAAACTAACTCGTCTGCACGAAAAATTTGGCATGCGAAGGTAAGCAGGTGTGATAACACTATGTATGGAGCAGAAGTCGGTTCAGTTCCTGAGATGATAAGCGATCAGCTAAAATCCTGTGACGCAGGCTTTTGAAATACATCAGTGTGCTTATATGAGCTATACAATATGAAAAATGTTCACATCCGTACTCAGCTCTTTCTCGAGAATCCCGCTCGTGATCAACCGTGTCATTCAGAAAGACTGGGCTAGGCTGTAACAGTAAACCGCAGACCATACACCGTCTTCACTAGAACGGGTCACTACTTTCACTACAGTGCATGTCTTGCTGTGCTCCTGAATTCTAGTTGGAACGTTCGTTTGTCAATTAATTATGAACCGAATTTTGCTTGTAATTGATTGTTATCATAAAGAATAGTATTCTGCAATTTTCCAATCGACCTGCCACGCATTCTTTATCAATAAAATTATCAAACATATATTTCGTCGAGATAAATGTTTAACAAACATCCATGCTTCACCAATAAGTTTCTTTTTCTAAATTAGTTATGGAATGATCGTGGTTAGTTGTCTCACTCTTTTCCACTCCTACAATGTATCTAAATAACAAACTTCCACTTCAAAACGCAATGAAATAGAGTTCGATTTCCTCTTCGAAGTAAACTCAAAATATTAAAAGTTAACACTTGCTCGATGTTTGTTCAAATTTTTTTCACAGTTTTTCTTAGTAATTAGCCAAAACTGTATGATTCTTGTGTCTGATTTTCAAGCAATTTGCTTAATTGCTTTCATAAGCAATCATTAATTATTCAAGATGGAGTTGAAAAAACTTGAAACATTTGTTTGCGGCATACTTTCAGCTGATCGAGGCTAGAATCCTTTGAACAACATACTGGCGAAGAAAGACTTATTCCAATGTTTGAGGAAAAATTAACGAAAGGATTTTTTGTTTGATCCGTTGAAATTTTTCACTAATTATGGTCTGTTCATAGACCCCCTTCCCCCTTCCCCCTTCCCCCTCCACGTTTCTGAGGATGTAGCCCAATTGGACAGCATAATATGGGAAAGAGAAACGTTAAGAAAATGCAGATGACTTTTATGTGTTTCGTTGTGTTGTCCGGTTCGAATGAATTTGCGAGGACCTATGATGGGTTAATAATTCCAAACATACATATGAATTATACAGTCTTCAAACGGGAATCTTCACCCGAAACTGATTTTTCACGCGTCTTTCTTATCTTTCAAGCCGACAAGAAATGAACTATTGCAAAAAAGATACCTACTAGCGATAATGCAGAGTTCTTGACAGTTTCCTAGGTTCTTTTTCATTTCTATTTTCATGGAAAATTCATGATTATTTTCTAGTCCTTTTATTAAGTCTACTCAGTCCATAAATAAAATGTTCCGAATTGATTTATCTGATAGATATCATGATTACGAAAACGCCTCGAAACAAGCGGTCGCTCGAAGGCAATTCGGCATGAGGGGACAGAGAGTTACATATGATTTCATAAATCAGAAGGGACTCATCACCGTGGCGCAAGAAACTAAAAATTGGAAACACAACCTTAAATTTACTTTAGGAAACAGCACGTCAACACGAACTCGCAGCGTGTGATCGCAAAAAGTGATCTGCGTTGCGCTTCGTTACGTTTTGTGATCGTGAGTTTCCTCTATCGTCATGAACATTTTTTGTTGAAGCGATTCATCTTATGTTTTGAGTGAATCGATAAAATAAAAGAAATTTTCCAAATCGGTGCCACCTAGGTTATTTTAGCCTTTTCCTGATTATGAAAGATAAATTGTATCGTTATTTTAAGTAAGGAGAGCAAATAAAGGATAAACTGAATCCATACTCACGGCAAATCGAGCTCAAGATTAACATTACGACGAGTCCTCTGAGCACCATATCTATTCAGTTTCTGATACAAAGCAAGGAAAGTTTCTCTGGCACAGATTCGATTTCAAGAATCCCAATTGGTGACCGCCTTAGACGCTGGTTCTTTTTGGTTAAATTAAGCTTCATTTTATACTTTTCCGGAGATTTCAGTGACACCTGCGTATCTTGGTCGATAAGATGTCATTCATAACACGTCTAATTAGGTATCCGTTACATTAACGCATTTAGCCCGCCACAAAAGATACTTTTCAGTCAATTTCCACAAGTTACACTATCTTAAAAGCCTGTAGAATTTGCAAAATAAACTAGTTTGGTGTCATCTGTTATTGCTCGTCCCGGCGTGGCATTTCTTTAATTGCCTTTTATTTGACGTAGGCGGAATTGTGTTCTATGAGAAGGTAATCCTCAGATTATTCATCTCTTGCCTGCTAATAAAATCCCTCAGCGCTTTGGAACAATTTCTCATAAAAAAGATCAACATATTTTGACGTGACCGTCAATGATTGCAATATCAGCCATTGAATGACGCAAACAAAAATTGTGACATCTAAATATTTTTTCAAAACATGGGCAGTTTTTTTTGTCTTCATTTTTTCTTTTGCGTTTCCTCTATGGCTTCACCGACACTGAAATTTAACCATGTAGGCACTTATGCTTCATGAGTGCGGTTTTAAGGGTTTTTTTATGTTAATGCAGGCGAGCCATACAAAGACAGGAAATGTGGGTAACCTAGGCTGTTAGAGGTCTCGAGTATCACTTCCAATTACAATGAAT